CTTTCATAGATCCAGTCATGCTTCTTCTATCGTTAGATTAAACTAGTTGTTGAATTTTAATCTCAATTTCACTTTATTGGCGGATTGATTACTGCCTTATGTTTGATGTATATGGTCGATCTTTGATCTTGTTCCAATAAAATTGTGCGAATATGTCTTGAATCTAAATTCTAGAATTACATTTGTAAATTAATTTGGTTTTACGATATATCTTTTGATTAAAGTGTTGGGATGAAAGCCTCTAATTGTGTTACAAAAATGAATAATTGATATGATTGATCTAATCCAATTGAGGGAATTCTGAGACTTCACTGCTTCAACTTATTGATTTTAATTTCACTTTTCAACATTAAATTTTATTAAACATTTGAGAGAACAATTCACAATTTTTGATCATTTAAATGTTCTTCCATCTCCCTGTGGATACGATACCCCAAAGCTGTGCTACAACTACCGTATTATTCTTTGGACGTAATCATGATTGAAAGATTATTATTTTTATAATTAATAATTAGTGTAAATAAATGAGAGAGGAGATGCATGGTTGCTTTGTGTTAGTACATGCACTATGTAATAAACATAATTGATGTCATTATACTTATAAAAACCAACTTTGCTCGTTTTAGAATTGTTGTCAATAAAAGCAATTTGTTGTAAGCTAAAGGTAAGAAATATTGTCAATGAAAGCAATTTGTTGTGAGTTAGAGCTTCTCAAAAATAGGCTAGATGATGCTTATATATGTGAACATATTCATGTTGGGTATTGGAGTTTTGGTGAAGTCGATTTGCATAAAACAATTTTAACCGAAAAAAAATGGTTTCTTTGGTATTTGAGGAAAATGTTGATTATGCTAAAAGATAAAATAGTTTTTTAATTCTTTTAGTATGTCCATAAAAATGATGAAAATAAGTTACTTATAAGTTGATGAGTTTTTTTTTTTTTTTTTTGGCAATTAGTTGAGCTTTGTTCGCATTTTAAATTAATTCCTAATATCATGGATTATATTTTATGAAATTTCTATTTTAAATTTATTTATTACCAATAATCATTTTAATTGTATATATACATCTGTTTAGAACGTCCTAATCACGTGACAGCTTGACAATATTATTGTCTCATCATATTTATGCAAATATGCATTATTTTTTTATTCATATTTATGAATTTGTGGAGCCATCTTTGGCTACATATTTATATGCTAGATCTCTTTTCACCACTGCGATTTATCTTTGACTTGGTGATTTATAATTTTAATATATATAATTTTTTGTTTTTTATTTAGTTGTTTTATTATTTATTAAATTATGATTTAATAATTACTTTTAGGAGAGATAATGGGACATTAGCATAGATGCAATTATATTAAACTTTGACAATTAAGATTTTGTTGAAATGTGAACAACAGCCACTTTGGTCTTTGATTGATTTTTACATTAAATAAAATCATTTGGGATTTTTTTAGCATATATCGCTGCATCATATTGGTATCTGAGCACAATCATATTCTTGATAAAGACATGTGTTGTATGATATTATATTTTTATTATATATCATATACTTGCTATAAGATTTTTTATTTTGATTTTTACATTGATAAAAAATTATTAAACTAATAAATCAATGACCTTTTTATTTTGTATTCTAGAAACATCACAAATGAATACAACAGTAAAAAATACTAACAGAAATGAGATGTGATTTATCAATAGATCAACAAAATAAGTCAAGTTGTGAGTTTAATTTGAAAAATATTAACTTTTTTTCCGTTTTGTTAATTGTTAATGTATATTTTTGTTGTCACATCTTAAATTTGTTTTCATATTTATAGGATAGATTGCCACTGAACAAAGATAGCGATTATATCTTTATAAGACAATCGGATGCATTTGAAGTGGATTATAAAAGTATCTATACTTCAAAAATATTCAATTGAGATCTATAGCAATAAAAACAACCGTGTTGAAGTTTTAAAACTAATTTTGTGTGATGGGAGGTATTATATAATATCATAATTATCCAATACTTTTCTTATAGAAGTTTTACTATTAAACTAATAGATTATTTTTAACTAATATATTATTATCTTTATAATATTTTCAAGGAAGTAAT